GTGGACCCCTGCCGCTGATCACAAGAGTAACGTGACTGATGTCTGTGACGTAGGTTCAGGAACCTCACTTGATCTTAGTGCACATAAATACACTGGTTGCCTGCGGGTCGTTTACGATATTGTGAGCTTTATTATGTGTCCTTAGTGACCTTCGTGGTTTAATCCTTCTGATTTTACTTGTTTGCTATGGAAGAAAAGTTCTCTTGCACGGAAAGCAAGAATACTGGGGATATTGTGGAATTCAGTCAAGATGTATTTGACAATGTCGAAGTAGAGGCCATAGAAGTAGACGGGAGCGGTCGAAGCTATGAAAATGAGGACGATTCACTCGAGCCATACACAGATGAATGGCTCGCACGGTACCGAAAGAAACAGGAAGAAAATGAAAAGTAAGAGAGAGAGTTAAAGAAACGTCTAGAAAACTGCGTACTTGTTGAAGAGTGGTAATTTTAGATGTTATCTTCATTCTGCTTTAGTTATATTCGTGTTTCTCGCCTCAGTAGCTGTAAAACTGAAATCACATTAATTCATATTGTTTCACATTCAGGTGTACTTGTGGAAGCTGCAGTTGTGGTCTTCTGGCGAATATCAGTGAGTGGTACGGCTGCAAAGAGCTAGAAGGATGCTGCGAGGCACTCACAAGCGACCTTGGGAAGGGGGAGCTACAAGAGGCAAAAGAATTAAACTGCATCGCAGAACACCCTGGCTTTAGACCTGTCTGCCTGGTGGAAAGTACCGCACCAGAAACAAAGAAGGGTACAAGAAAACTGGCTCTGAGAAAAGGTGCGATAATCTATAATCTATAAGTTTCTTCACTTGTTTTTATGGCTCAGATCTTTCATGGCTATAGCTTTTATCTATACAGAACTGTTAGTAGAGACCTTAAGATCAAAGTTTTTAGGCATTTCCTGCAAACTGCGAACGTCAAGAAGTCACGTGACCAGTGCCTTGCCGTCAGGTTTGCAGTTTCAGGTTCATGTTTTATACGGCTGGACCACGCTCTAGAAGTAAGTGACTTACCGCAAGGTTTTTTGCACCCTAAAACATCAAACTCCCACGTTTGAGAGGAAAGACTACTTTTAAGAACTCTTTCGCTTATTAATTATCAAATTCTCTTTCATAGAAACGTAAATTTCAAGATGATTTCTCAGCTAAAATAGAAGTGAATGAATGAATGAATGAAAACAAACATGGCGGCCGGCTATTTGTTATTGTTAAAACTGTTTTGCCGGTCGGATTACTTTGAGGTTAAACAAAAACCAATTTCCGATGATATGTGAATGCGTGAATGCTTATTTTGTTTCCTTAATGGCTCTGTTCAGATGACCAAGCATACAAAGCTGCTTGAAGAAATAAGAATTCGAGATCTTTATTGCTCGACAATGAACCTTCAGAACTACTATGGTCCAGCTGCATAATGTCCAGCAGATCTTTGTAGTCTTCCCTAATTTAAAGAGGATCCGCAAAGATTTAGTGTTCTGCTCTCATTAAGTAATCATTAAAATCCAACAAACACATGAATCCACATATCACCTTCGGGCAGCAGCCATCATGTTTTTGTACTAATTTCTCGTAATTCAACAGTGCTACCACCCGCGAATCTGAAGTCCCAAATAAGGGCAGACGGCTAACGTGAAGCTGCTAACGGCAAACCGCGGTTGCCGTTTGCAGTGAGATGGCCAAACCTCGATCTTAAGCCCGGCGCACACTTGAGCTATCAGCTGAGCTGGGCGTCACTCGTGCTTTTGCCTTACGCCATTTCCTCAAGTGTGCGGTGTCTTTTTCTGCGATTTTGGGCACGAGTGAACATTTCCTCACAATGTGCATGCGTTCTGAGCTATCAGCGCAGTGATCGATGCAAATGCGCGTGCTTTTGTTTCATACATAAACTTAAAAAATGGCGGAAAACAGCTCGATAGTTGCTAATTTAATTTATTTAATTTATTCCATTTCACTGCAATTACATGGGAAAATAAAACAAAAGAACACACAATAATAACAAATTGGGTTACATAACAAGGCAGTGGGGAAGACTAGAAGGGAACTGACGAACCATACGTGCTAGTCAACCCATTATGAAGAAAATATACGGATATATAAAAAACCTTAATCAAGGTATGTAACTGGCTAGCTGCTAACTACCTAACTGAGTAATCTAACTAACTTACTAACTAACAACCTTACTAACTAAGTGCTGGTTTAGCCCAGGTGGTACATGGGTGCTCAGGGTCGAAAACCCTATCGTTATAAAAATTAGTGCATAGTCTCTTAAAAGAAGAAACACTACAGCTAGCCGTCCTCAACGCATCAGGCAGATTGTTCCATAGATACGGAATCCTATTAAAAAATGTTCCCTTAAAAAGTTCCGTCCTGAATCTATTAATTCTTAGTTTATTACTTGCATGCGATCTTAATCTCTCATCTGAACAAAATTGAAAATACGACTTAAGTGAAGAGTTAAAATGCCCGCACTTCAGTTTATAAAAAGTTGAAAGATCCTTGACTTCTCTGCGGTAAACCAGTGGTAGCAGGTTGAGACGTTTTAGGCGTTCATTATAGCTAAAATCGGGTAACATAAGCCGAGTCGCACGTCGTTGCACCCCTTCTATTCTTTTTATCATAGTAATTGATTTTGGGCTCCAGATTTCAGAGGCGTACTCAAGGTGAGAACGTACGAGAGCCACATAAAGGGATCTCAGAGTTGGTAATAAAATTTTGCTTCCGCTGATAGTGCGACGAATAAAACCCAGCATTTTGTTAGCCTTGTTTACCTGGGCTTGGATGTGATCATTGAAGCTAGCTGTATCTGACATAAGTACCCCGAGATCGCGCTGGGCTCTCACCCTGCTAAGAGCCTTCTCTCCCATTCTGTAGTTGCAAATTATGGGGCTGCGTTTCCGTGTTACTGTGCAAAGTGAGCATTTGTCAACATTGAAGGCCAGCTTCCAGTTGTTACTCCAGTCAACCAGCTTGTCAATTTCGTCTTGTAGCAAGGCACAGTCAGCATAAGATCTTATGGTGCGGAAGCACTTAGCGTCATCAGCAAACAGAGCCAATGTGCTTGAGTGAGATAACGCACTCGGCATATCATTAATAAACAACACAAATAAAGCAGGTCCAAGTAGAGAACCCTGTGGGACTCCTGAGGTGACAGGTAACCAATTTGAGCTTTTACCATCAATTACTACTCGCTGTAGCCTATTGCCAAGGTAGCTTATGAACCAGTGCAACAATGGTCCCTTAATTCCAGACTGATCCAGCTTACTGATTAGATGTGCATGAGATACTGAATCAAATGCCTTGGAGAAATCCAAGAAGGCGACATCCGTTTGTTCGCCATGGTCGATTGTTCTGACCATCCGGTGTACTGTGTCGAGGAGCTGAGTGATAGTAGAGCGTCCTTTGACGAAACCATGTTGCATGGGATAGATTTTATCGGCAATAAAGTTGGAGAAACGATCAAGAACAATGCGCTCAGTAATCTTGGAAATAAGGCTTAACAGTGAGATTGCTCTATANTTGAATGTGTTGGTAAATATATGTTAAATTCATTCTAGGTGAATGGGTCAAAGCTAAAATCAGAGCCCTGAGAAACAGCTTTAGCAAAGCCAAGAAGCCCCTACCTAGTGGAAGTGCAAGAAAAAGTCAAACAAAATGCACTCAGTGGATACTTGAAAAACTGCAGTTTTTAACACCTCATGTAGCAACTCGGGCATCAGTATCAAATATTGATTTGGTAAGTATTGAAGAAATCAAGGCAGTTTTTGATAGTCCAGTTAATGAAAATCAGAAGTGTTTACAGAAAACATGCATGCTTGACTAGGAAGTATGGCTAAACAACTATATTGAGTTGCCAAGGAACAGACCCATGATTATTGAAGTAATTTGCCAAAAGTTCCCTTTGAGATTTTGCATCTTTTGGTGCATTGTGAAGGTTGGTTGCATGCTGTTCAAAACTTGGTCATTTCTCCAGGTTCCTCTTACCAATGTATGGTCTGCATCCTCTAGGTCTGCGGCTGATATGTAACTAGCTTTGTTTTTTCCAATCATTAAATTGTGTAAGCAAGAGGCTGCAAAAATTATGTCTGTGACTTTCTTGGGTGATAGTTTAATGGTTAAAAATACGTTCCACCTGTGGGCTAAAATGCCAAAGGCATTTTCAACAACTCTTCGTGCCGGTGACCATCTATAATTGAATATGCGCTTCTCTTTGTCCAAATTGCGATATGGGTATGGCTTCATCAATCGGGCATGCAAAGGAAAGGCATCATCCCCAACAACATGATATGACACCTTTGCTGGTATCCTTTGTAATGCAATCGCATCTGGGAGATCTAAAGAAATTGTCGTTAGTGCTTTTTTCAATGAAGAGTAAGCAAAAATGCCAGTATCTCCTGCTCTGCCAGCTGCCCCAATGTCTACATAAATAAATTTATAGTTTGCATCAACCATGGCCAGTAGAATGACGCTGAAAAAATGCTTGTAGTTAAAGAACTCAGAGCCTGTATCTGCTGGTTGTTGAATAGCAATGTGCTTTCCATCTATGGCTCCTGAACAGCAGGGATAATTCCATTTGCTGTTAAATTCTGCTGCAATTTGTAGCCAGTCTTCTTTATTGTTTGGGGTCTGAAAAATAAAATATATATTTGTTTCATTTTTAGGATTCCTGTGGTAGTAGTAGTAATCAATCAACAGAGGCAAGTCGTGAAAATGATGTTGATGATGATGAAAGTGAAGATGACTTCCTTAATCCATCAACTCCAAGTAGCCCAACGAATCAAACAAAGNTGTCAAGATTAGCTTTCTTAAAGTCGTATGCATAACGAACAACACGCTCTCTTTTGACTTTGGTTTTAATAAAGAAAGCGACTCCAAGGTGATCCGTGGTGAATTGACATTCGAATGTCTCCATTTCACATACACGTTCGGGTTGGTTAGTAAAAACGAGGTCAAGAATATTCTCTGCGTTATCTGTGAGTCTTGTTGTGGAATGATTCATCTGTGTTAGAAACGTGTCACTGACGATATCGCAAAACATATTTGGAAGATTATCTAAGCCCGGAGCTGCTTGATAGTTCCAGTTGATATCAGGAAAATTAAAGATTATCAGATTGTGACAATTGTGAAAATTGTGATTGTCAGTCTCTGTAAACTACTCTAGGCAACATAAAGAACTGGTCAAAGCGTAATCACATTGAATTTAACACCTCTAAATGTAAATCACTTACCTGTTAAAAATCCCCCCCCCCCTGGTTCACGAGTACACCCTGGACAGTGCTCAACTTAAGCGCGTCTCCACCGAAAAAGATCTGGGTGTTCACATGACAAGTTCACTCTCTTGGAAACCCCACATCCACACTAGTACTGTTAAGGCCAACAAGCTCCTTGGGCTTTTAAAGCGAACATACCCCCTAATAACCGAAGTGACTGTTCGGCGCACGCTATACGTGTCGCTGGTCAAGTCTCAGCTATGCTACGCCACGCAAGTCTGGTCGCCTGCTCAAGTCACCCTAAAGGCCCAGGTCGAGCGAGTACAACGCTGCGCCACCCGCTGGATTTTACAAACTCGGGTGGGAGAGGTCTCTTACGAGGACAAATTGATGAAGCTTGACCTGCTCCCTTTATCCTATGACAGAAAACTGAAAGACTTGTTATTTTTTTACAAATGTCTATACAACTATATTGACTTTAACGTACACTGTTTTATTGACTTTATCTCCCACAGCCGTACCAGACTTTGTAATTCTTTCAACCTAAAAACACCTGTTTGTAGAACCAGTACTTTTCAGGCCTCATACTTTAATCGCATTGTTAAACTCTGGAACCTTACTTGCTCCGTCTTACCATCCGCCAGCTTTGACAACCCAGGTTTGTACCAGAAATCTGTCTGCAATGTAATGTTAGACCGTCTAAAAACTATATATGACATTGATTGGGCCTGCATGTGGACAATAGCCAGTACGTGCTCGTGCCACTAAGTTTAAATTATTTATTTATTTATTTTGTATTTTTGTAATTTTTTATTTTATAGTGTTTTTTAATTCATAATGGGCGGCGCCTCGCAAGGGACTTATGTCCCGTTCGCGCCTTCCCTTTTGGGTGCAGTTTTACCAGTTTCTCTTCTATTTTCTATTTGTTATTGTATTATTGTACTTTTACTTTTGCCTTGTTCAAATATTTATCTGATATGCCCAATAAAGTCGTTAAAAAAATTATAATTAATATAAATTATCGGGTGGATACATTTCGCTGACCCCAGTCCATGGACTACCCTCGATGGACTACCTAAATAGACTACCCATATGGACTACCTAAATAGACTACCCCTATGAACTACCTAAATGGACTACCTAAATGGACTACACTACCCATATGGACTTACCCCTATGGACTACCCTAAATCACCTACCTTTAAATAAACAAAGATCAAAGATCGATTGTCGCCATTTTCTTTTCTTAATGCCGCTGGTCAGCTGTTCTTCTTTGTTCTTTATTCATTCATCGCGCGTGAAGGGTGGTGAGTATCTTATTATCTTATTAGCTTGGCTGTTACTGTTACTGTCTTGGCTGTTACAGACATTGCTGCAAAGAAATTTCAAGTAATTTTTCCTTTTGCGGAACAAGTGCTTTCTAAAGAATCCAGAGATTTGCTGAAATTATGGCGGTTTTTTGTATATTTCTCTTTGCCGTTTGCTCGTTAAGAAGTTTTTATAATTTGGCAAAGAAGGGTTATACGTGGTAGCGATGGCAGAAGTTTCTTTCACACTTTGTTGTCCCTTTGCAAAGCCGACTTCCGTTCCGTAAATTTAACTCAGAGGTGATTTTTCTAGTGAGGATAGCTTCCAGCACGAAGGCGTGTTTTGAAGTTATAGATGTTCTCATAGAAAGATTAGTACAACTTTATTCATATTACGAAATACATATTTGAAAAGGTTTGCCCCACAAATAGCTGGGAGGCTAGTCGTGGCAGGGCAAGACAAACACATGATGAATCGACAAATTAACACAGCACTTACTGACAATCTATAAAGACAAGGAGGAGAAAAAAAAACAGACATAACATATTCATGAACCACTTTATTAAAAATCATGAGGATTTCAATATACTCATCCTCCTTTTCTAAAATATCAAATAGCAATTTGCAAAGAGCTCTTTTGAGAGACTTTAGCTGAGGACTTGGTTCTCACAAGTCTAAGGGCTTTGCCGAAACGACTGTCTGTGAATGAATGCATGCATGGGTGCAGGTTTCTTTGTCCGTAAGTGTAACTATTTCCTGCTATGTCAGCTGCAAATAGTTACATTCTAGGAAATGTCTCTGGGCCCAGCTCTACAGTGTAGTTACTTTAGATATTGCGATCTTCAGATGATTAGAGCAGTACATTGAAGCTTAACCTAAAAGTACACATTAACACCAACCGTGCGTCTGTCAAGAGCGATCAAGCAGTCCAGGTAGATTCTGGGAGCATTTTTGTTTCCTCTTTAATAACAGCCGTTGGAATATAGCGGGCGACAAATTGAGGTGGAGTTATTAGTTATGAAGTGACAGATCGGTTTATTTTTAACAGGTTGTTGCTGGTTGAACGCGTCTGATACAAAAGAGAATGAAGTCCCTCTTTTCGCTCGATTCGCTTGCGTGAAGGCAAGTAATTTAGGGTAGTCCATATGGGTAGTCCATATGGGTAGTCCATATGGGTAGTCCATATGGGTAGTCCATATGGGTAGTCCATATGGGTAGTCCATTTAGGTAGTCCATCGAGGGTAGTCCATGGACTGCTGGTCAGGGTACCCACCCTAAATTATCAACTCAGTGCAAAAGCTTTGCACACCGTCTAGACATTTTCGGAAAATAATTTCTGCTTATAACGTTTAGAAATAGGAACATATATTCGACTGCAACAATATTTGTGGATTTTAAATATCAGCTCTTTAAAACTTTGCAGATTTCGCTAAATTTTGAAGTTTGCACACTTGGGCCCGTGTTGTTAACCGCGTACCTTCCACGTTGTATTCAGCTTTGTCCGAGGAATACTGGTGAACATCAGTCTCTTAGTAACGAAGTAGTTGCTAAGGTAGTACTACTTTACCTGTATTGTGTTCTTTGGCGCAGATGGTGAATTCCACGGGCGTAACTGTGAATGGTCGCAAAAAATTTCCAATATGTTCATTGTTGCCGGTGAGTCGCTTGTAGAAAATGCAAGTGGTGGTGGGTTAGAAATGCGAAAGTCGACGTGAATTTGAGGTTGGGAATTGTTTACAAGATTGCTGTTAAAATAGGATGTGAAGTAGGAAAACACTGGAATTATGAATTTTTGGACAATCGCTCATCGCATAGGGGAAAGGTAACTTTCAATGTTTAGCAAAGGTTTTATAAATGATCTTGTCAGTAGGCGTCTTGTTTTGGGCACAGCGGGATGCATGTACTGATTAAAGGTGTACGGAGGGTTGAACAGTCATATCACTGTTAGGCTAGAAACATCTTATACAGAAGAGGACTCGGTTAATGAACGTTCTATTTCTTATTATTAGTTTACATTATAATTTGTAACACTTTGATGTTTACATATTATTAACTTTGATTAAAAACAAAACGAACTTAACGACATTAAAATTAACTTACAACTTTTTAATCTAGGGTAGTAACACAATGTGGAAATGTGGTCTCCATATGCTGCTGAAAGAGAAAATAAGTAGGTTTTAGAAATCTAAAGAAAACGCAGATATGGTGTCAAATGATGTGCAGTGTGTTTTGTCGACCCTGGGGGATGGAGAAAAATTTACCAAGCTTGTCTTGTATCAGGCACATTAATTGATGACATTGAATGATGGAGAACTTCCTACAGAATATTCTACTTGTCATTTTAAGCATAGTTGACAAAATTTTGTAATCAGTGGAAAAAACAATGACAATCTCATGCAGAATTTAGAAGCAGAAGTAAAGTAACTGTCAACATCTGGAGTGAGGTTAAGAGGAGACAATTCCTTTGTCAAGGTGTTGCAAGTTATCTATTTTGATCATGTCATAAATGGCAGTGGCATCAAGCCAGTAGCGGGTGGATGGAAGTCATACAGAATTTTCCAACACCTGAAAATGTTACTCAGTTGCACACATTCCTGGGAATGGTGAACCATTATTGTTTCATGTCAAATCCAAATATCATTCCAGCTCGAGAACCACTATACAAATTGTCTAGACATGGTTAATGGCATGGTGATATCTGTTATGTGGATTAGGAAACTGTACATGATGGTGTAGAGTACAATAATACGAACAATTAAGCAGAATGTTACCTGTTTAATGGTAGTTTGCTTCACTGTTGGTGGAAGCTGATGCTTTATTAATGTTTTCAAGATTTGATGCGGCAAACTAATACAAAAGAAATCACTGATAAAGAGTATATCAGAAGGGAAAAAATTATATTTAAGGTGGGTGTAAAAATTTCACAATCTGGTGTATGAATATTGTTTGGTCTAGTGTGAGGAATGTGGAATTTTTGCAGGTAACTATCAATGACAAGTACCGTTTTCGATTTTGTTGTAATTGTGGTTGAATTTCATAGTTAACTACATTTAGTGGACACTTACTCCTTTGCAAACCTCCAACATTTGTTGTACAAACAATTGGTCTTGTCTTGAGGTCTGTGAAACACAAAGGATAGCGTGCGAGTGAAATCATGTGATTCATACCTGTTTATTTTATTTTTTCAATGAAGTAGTGTATGAATTGGATAATAGTGGCACAATTCAGTTTTCAAATTTAAGTTTCTATGATATGTTACTATTATTTAGCTTGATTGGTAATTTTCAATTATAGGAATAACTAACAGAATTTTTAGTTACCAAGGCTGATGGTTCAGCATAATGATTGCTGATCCATTCTAGTTGGACATTCACTTTTGACAAGCTTTGTATCATTGATACCATTGTGTGTTTAATCTTTTGGAACTGACGAGCTACAATGTAAATGAAATTTTGAGTTATGTGCTTTTAGCTATATATGTGATTATTGAGAAACAAGTATCACATAGTTTTGGAGAAAATTAAAGGAATGATTATGATGTATAGGGTATTTTTTCGTAGTCAATGAACAAAGTATTTTTATTACCTTTTGACTCCAGTAAACTTCCAGATAAGAAAAATAAGTAACTTCTCTCTAAACCATCTATAGATCATGCAAGAAGCAGGTAATGGGAATACTCAAACTTATCTGGCAGATGTTGTCAGTTGTTTTCATCCAATACTAAATTTGTGTAATTTAGTTACAAGGAAATATATAGTAGCTAGAGTGTTTCTTTTAGATCTTTAGAGTCAAACTCAAGAATACATTTTAACTTCAGTTTTGAAGAGGAAGTTAAGTAAAATATTGAAATGTGTATGACTTGTGGATAGAATATCTTAGTTTGTTGTCATACAATAGTCAGTAACCTATGAGTTCTAAGATGTTTTGGATTTACTGACATAATTTTCATGTAGTCAGTGTCCTATCATGTAGAAGATATATTTAACATGTTGATGAATTTACTCACCTTCTTGGGAACCAGTGTGACGCCTGTGACATATTGCATCTAAAAATGTTAGTACAGAAATGTTTGACATTTAGAGTTGATACAGTAATTATTGAGAATATCACTCTTAGTGTAGATAGACTGAACTGCCTTGAAACAGTAGTATTATTTGTATACAAGGAGAATTTAGTATTGAATGGTATTAAATGCAATGATATTCTTGCGTTGCAAACACCTCAAAGATCTTTCAGTAGCATGTTCTGTAAAAAATCAAAGGAAATATCAATCATAGGATAACTGGTTGATGGCATACAAAATTTTCCAATTTGACATTGTAACTTGCTAGGTCTATGTTACCCAAAGTTGTGGTGGGAAGGTAGGTGTTAATTTGATGGGTACTTACCTTTATTGTTTCTTCTTCTGTTTTCTGGTTCTTTGGAATGGAAATATGTAGTCAGTAATAAAGCAATTGACAACTATATTTGAAAGACATTACATTATGCATTTGTGATAATTAGCAATGTGTTTTGAGAACTTGTGCTTTTCTTTTAAGTCACACAAGTGATGGGGGGATTTTAAGGTGTTGAATTTATTTGAGCATTACCTGGGTTGTGATGTTGAACATGCTGGCGCATAACATTCACCACAGATGAACTATTTGGTCTGCTGATCGAACTCCACCAATTCACATTCTGCAACGTACTCTGTAAGAAAGTTATAGAGATATATAATCAGCAGTGGTATGAAGTTAAAGTTCCTGCATCTAATTATTATTATTGTTCATTAAAGTTGTTGTTGCAGGTGCATTATTAGGGAGCTTAAAATACAGACGTTTTGGGGGCGACGGTGATGTGACAACCCAGGTAGACTGGGTCAGAGGTTGCCGTTTTCGTGCCATAATTTAAGTTGTTAAGATTCTGATGACGGCCGGCCTCTGCGACTTCTGCAACTTCGTCGACTTTATTTGTTGCACTTTATAAATTAAGGCTTTTTTGTCGTAGCATGGCTAAGTTTGAAGAATTCCGCCATCTCCTCATCCTTTACTATGACGCTAATCTTATTAGCGATGAAGAGTTCTTGGTTTTGTATGAAATGTTTCCTTCTAAAAACCCCAATTTTCCATATGACAAGTATAGTCGCTTTGCCTTGGATAACATGAGTGAAGCTGAGTGCAAAGCAGAATTCAGGTTTGACAAGAAGGATCTTCCAGTTCTTGCTGAAGCCTTGCAGATTCCACCATCCTTCAAACTAAGCCAAGAAGCATAGTAGATGGAATGGAACGCCTCTGTATGCTTTTACGACGGCTTGCTTACCCATGCAGATTTCGTGATATGGTGCCTCGTTTTGGCAGTCCAGTACCCATTCTAAGCATGGCCACAAATCATGTCATTGATTTTCTTTACAATACCCACGGACATCGCCTAACTCGATGGAACAATGCACTGCTAAACCCACCTGCACTGGAAATTTATGCTCGATTAGTTCACGACAAAGGGGCTGCACTTCAGAATTGTTTTGGTTTTGTTGATGGGACTGTGCGCCCCATTGCCAGACCTGATCAGCATCAGAGAGTGATGTCCAATGGACATAAACGCATTCACGCCATAAAATTTCAGTCTCTCGTCTTGCCAAATGGGTTGATCACATATCTTTACGGCCCTGTAAGTAACTGTTGTTTATCAATACACAGATCTTGTAATCTGAAAAGCAAAGCTAGAGGGTAAATATAGTTATAAACATAGTTTTTAAATGGCAGCATTTCCTTAATTTTCTGATATAGGGTAAGTATTGCAATTAACATTTAGAAAACAAATTGTAGGGCAGGGCCATCAACTTTCATATTTTTGGCTTGTCACGCAATCTTTTTTTAATCCAAGCGTGACGAAAAGCAAGAATGTCTGAGCTTGCAGTTATCTCTGAACTTACATTAATGCTCTAGTATCTTTTTAGAGGGAAAGAGACATGATGCTGGAATGCTGGCAGAATCTGGTATGCTTACCATTTACATTAAACCATCCAGTTGGAGAATTCCCTGTCAATGGTAATGCATTTCCCTCCCGGATAGAACAGGGTAAGCGGGTTGTGAACCTTCAAGAGCGATCCGAACGGAAATGTGAGCCTCCACTAAGGGCTTTAAGCGGTTGACTTCCTTTGTTACTATGGTAACATCCTTGCACACAATCTAGCAACCAGTGGAGGAGGTAAACAAAATGGCGCAACAAGGCATTTTGTTTGCCATATTGGATGAATTAGACGTTTCTGACCTTTTGGATTACGAAGATGACGTTTTTATCCTATCCGTGGCCTCAACGAATATGAGACGAAGTCTAAACCGTATAGAAGGCTACTTTGAAGTCACAGTTCCGTCCTATTTTGGAGATGAGTTTAAAAACCACTTTCGTTTAACTCGTAACAGTTGTGAGTTACTCACGCGAGAAATTTTAGCGTCCGGTGTCATTAATGCAGGAAACCCATTTGGCAGGGCCCCTATCCCGACAGAAAAACAACTTTTAGTTTATTTGTGGATGATGGCAAACGGCAGTGAAACAACGCGACAAGTGGCAGATCGATTCAACATCACGATGAGCAGTTGCGGCAGAGTCCTGCAAAGAGTTAACTCTGCTGTTTTGTCGATGCGCCAGCGCTACATAAAATGGCCAAATGGTGAGAAAATTTTTTTATACTTTACATAAACATATTAAGTTTGGAAGATGGCAACAAAAATCACGTATTTGTATAGTTAATGTATTCATTCGAAGCAGTTTAGAAAAAAAATCGATCGCAGTAAAGAACTTTTAATTGCTATGTATGTGAATTCCCTCGTTTTCTTGCGATCGCTTCCCTTTTCTTCGGTCACGAGTAATTTAGGAATTCATATTCTTTTTAAACTAACGTAAATGTTTTCAGTCTTTTGAAGTGATACTAGCAAGAGACAAGCTTTTGTGCTTGCCAATGAAGTGGCTTGGGGAAGTTTATACTTCTCATATCATCCACACGCCGTAATTGACAAACTGTGTGTTCGCTTGTTTTGTTTTTGTTTTTTTTAAGAAATTTGATTTGAAAATCTTTCAAGAAATTTGATTAAAACACAACAAGTGCAGAAAACATATAGCGTTGTATTTTCTTCAATGTTACAGAAATCATAAAATCAGATATAGAGATCGTATGGCATATAACTTGAAATGGCAATTATTGTGTGGTTTTCAGTGAATGAAATGCGAGAGATTGCCCAAAATTTTGAGGATGCAGGGATGCCAGGAACAATAGGTAATGAATTTTATTGCTGCCCAGTGCTTTTATCGTGACAGGCATGTTATAATCGCAAACTTTAAAAGTTATTTTCGTTTGGTTTGAAGCCACCTATCAGTACAGTTTCTCATGTTATTTTCAGATCATACAAACATGGAATTTTAAATTTTTTAGAGTTAAAATTTTCGAAATACTATCAAGGGAACAGTAACACTCGCAAAAAAAATGTGCAGGCAAATGTAACTTCAAGAAAAACAGTCAGACATTCTGTTGAACTTAATTTTAAATTCACTAATCATAAAAGAAAAGTTGAATATACGAGGATTTACTTACCCGTAATGATAAAGTCCACTCTAGATATGTTTATTATCTCAAAAATAAATTAATCGGTTACTTTCATTCTGTAAATAAAACTACCAAAGAGAGCGAAATAGAAAAAAAAGACAATAGTTTCATTGTTGGTCATTATTAAGGTGCAGTGGATGGAACATTCATAAAGATCAAGGCACCTACTGTGGATCGAGAATCTTTCAACTGTAGAAAGAAGTTTTACGCTCTGCAGTTGCAGGTGAAATTTTCTTTAATAGTCTGACATAGATGAAAAATATAAACTAATATTATTTCTGTGGGATACTATTCATTAATGTGTGTTGTAAAATTTGCATAAATATATAAAACATAATAAAATAAATAAAGATAATTTGCAAATTTCCCATGCCTTCACAGATTGTGTGCGACAACAACATGGTGCCTAACAGATGTCTTGGCAGGCTGGCCTGGCTCGGTACATGACTCGAGAGTCTTGAGAAATTCAGAACTGTTTGCAACTTCAGCAAACAAATTTCCCTGTGATTATCATCTAATAGGTGATGGAGGATACCCACTTTTGAGGTATATTTTCAGATGAATAGTGTTTGATATCAATATTGTCTCCGTAGTTAAAAAAAAAAACAAAAATTTTTTTCAATTTAATTGAGCATCAAAATTGGCCATGTAATTGATTTTTAATAACCATCATGACTTCTTTGGTTTAAGATTTTTAATGCTCTTGTCTGATTTGGTCATAGTTGACAGAAATTTAAATAAATATGAATGAATGAAGGTTACACATTTTTAACAATATGCACCTCTTAATATTGTTACAGATGGTTGATTACACCTTTTCGTAATAATGGCCACCTACTGGCAAATCAGATAAGGTTCAACAATGTTCTGTCATCATGCAGACATATAGTGGAACGTTCAATATCTCTTTTGAAAGGGAGGTGGAGAAACCTGAGCCACCTAAATCACTCAAGTGTGAAGCTGATGACAGAGATAATCATGGGAGCTTGTGTCCTGCACAACTTCGCTCTTGTTCATGATGACTTTGACGAAAGCTACTTTCTTGATGATGGCAATGATGATGATGATGATGATTGTAGTGGTTGTGATAGTTTCCCTCGAAACAGACCAGCAGAACAAAAGCGTCAACATTTACTAAATCTGATTGCTGGTTGACCTTATTCATTGCAACTGAGGATGTATGTTTTGTAAAATAATTAACCTTTTAAAACTTTACTCAGTCGAAGGATAAATTTTTGTCGCTGTCAATCACATTAGGAGACTTCCAATGAGACACCCTCCTTTGATGGGGGGGGGGGGAGGCTGCAGTTAAGAAGTGGAATGTCTCAATAACAAATAAACAAACTGAGTAAGATGCAAGTAAGTAATTTGTAGTTTTGAGAAACTTCATGTTTAATAAAGCTAACCAGCTGTATTACAAATAGACAAACCAGGCAAGAAGTTTCCAACTATCAAGTGATAGACAGTGGAATACTTTCATAACAAATGAGGGCCAACAGAATTATCTTCAATGTTCAAAAATGGCCATCAATAAATCAATGTGCATAAATGTTGTGTATGATGCCAGTTACTTTACTTGTTTGAAGTTTTCATAACCTCCAGAAGATTTGACCTGAAAGCTTTTTTTTCCTCATTTATCTCCTGTAAAAGTTTTAGTTTTTTGTTTTCAACCTCTTCTTTTTTACCTTGACATTCCCTGAGAAATTCAAGCATTTCGGACGCTGAGGATCTGCTTCTTCGTTTCTTTGAGGGGCGTTTGGAAGGAGTCTTCTTCTTTTTGTCGGGTGGAGCACATGAATTTTCGCCGTCTTCAGACGAGCTCTCTCCATGATCAGAAATGACTGTAGAAGAAGATGATTCCAGAGTGAAAGTTGGGTTGACACTACTTTGTCCACCAATACAATCTTCCATTTGTGCATAATATTTCCACGTACGTGTACCATTTCCGCTCTTGTTGTTGTGATCAACAATCTCCTTTTGTTTAGCCTCTAATTTCCCCCATTTCCTTAGGCACTGGATACCAGACACTTTTAAATCTGACTTTCCATTGAAGTCGGCGGCGATCTTTTCAAAAACTTCTTTTTTTGTACTTTTTCCATTACCAAAGGACGATTTGTTTTCCTTCCAGCAACATATCAGCATTTGCACGTGGCGGTCCTCCCATCTGTCTAGATTTTCTGCTTTTAACAGAAGGTGACAAAGCGTTTAATTTAGAGACCGATAGGGCGTAAGATTAATCTCAAACTTATATTAAGTTAAGCTCAAGTGGAAACCATCCATAATACAAAGCCCACAAAAAGCTTATGAGCTTATATCGTAAGCACAAGCTTAAGTAATTTAGACTTGCTTTAAACGACTTGTAATAAATTAAACAAAGTTTGTTTTGCCGCTCGAAACAATGTTGATGCAAGCCTATAAGGTTGTGCTTCACTATGCGTACTTTATGAACCCTGTTTATGAAATGAAGACAGACCACCGTCGATCCCCAAGCTACAATCTGCCGTCGACACGTCGACTTTGCCAAATTTAAAAAAAACTACGGTTTGAGAGAATCCGGGAAAATGCAGTTTACAGCGGGAAAACATCTATTCACGTAAACAAACCAGCTTTTTTCGGTAAAATAAACTAAAAATGTAATTTTCACCTACCTTCGCTTTTATCTTTAGCCGCCATTTTGTTTTGACTGCTCAAAAAACAATCAAACCCAAATGAATACTGTCAAATGGTACGCTCGCTGACCGGGAAAACCGAAAAGGGCGGGAAAAGTGGATCGCCTCAAACGACCACCCACTTTTTTCGGAATGTTCCGAACAGAATGGTGCGTACCATTTGATTTTCCACCTGGAATTTCCGGTTTTTCAATGTAAATGGTAAGCACCCCTGGACTCCTACGAGACTTAGAGCAAAAGCCATTTTCCACCACTGGCCAACCTATGTGTATATATGGAGATTCTGCTTACCCTCTTCGAGTGAACCTCCAAGGACCATTCCAAGGAGCAGCTATCACTCCCCAGATGGAGATGTTCAATTTTTCTATGAGCTCTGTCCGCGTGTTAGTGGAATGGCTGTTTGGTGATATTTTAAACTATTTCAAATTCCTTGATTTTAAAAAGAATCTAAAAATTGGCCTTAGTAGTATTGGTAAAACATATGTTGTATGTGCACTCCTACGAAATGCTCTAACACGTCTCTATGATAATAAGACCTCAGATTTTTTTGAACTTGACCCTCCAAGCCTCCAGGATTACTTTAGATGAATTAAAAAAATCCAGATGACAACAAATATGAAAAGAAAATATATGATTACTATGGTATCAATAGTAAAACTAACTGATATCGAAAAAATCATTTTCAGTTAGAGCTTGTGTTTGCCCACTGAATCTTAACAAAGAAAAAGCATGAAATGTTAAAATTAAGAACAATTCGTTGGCAACAACTCAAGTAAATCACAGAAACTGTGGCTTCAACAATTGTTTTTTTCTGTTGTCTAATATGCTTTTTACTTATATGGATTTGATTGAATCCATTGATAAAGTAGATAGAGCAATAATTTTATTTAATATATGGGCTGTACTGTCAAAGATATACAATCTCAAGTGTTACATTTAACAAGGAGTGAGGTATTGCAATTAATATTCACTTTCAAATTTCTGTGTCCATTTAAAACGAATTATTTTACAGTGTTGCACCCCTGAAAATCAAAATTAGCCCCTTTGCATGGGTCAATTATAAGACCAAACTCAACCTAAAAATATGTGCACACATGCTGACCTCAGTAAGATAATTGGACACCCTTGCCGCTCTTTCTGTGTGACAGTGTCATTTTATGGTGGCTTGAAAATTAACAAAGGAGAGAAAGAGAAAGGAAAGAGTTGCAGCTTACAATCCAGTAAGACTGTCCAATGCCAATACAACATAACTTATCTTGTTTCAATTTTCCAACTACAGTCCCCAAAGTTGGCAGTTATTTTAAAAATTTGCTTTCATAATTGGAATTGGAACCATGACAATGTCTATGAATTCTTACATGACATTAAAACACTTTTTAACAACAGCTTGCACATGAGAAATGGAATAAAAAAACACAATAAGGAATTTTGTAACAGTACTAATAAGTGCCAACACTGAGCAACTGTTAGTGATTTTCCTTGGGACCTCTCAATAAGGCTTAGAAGAACCTGTGATTGCTGTTGCTGCTGGTTTAACATTGACTGCATAAATTGCAGTTGTTGGGTTTCCTTTCTTTGCTGCTGCTTCTGCTGATCTTCTTGCTGTTGCTGAATCATCCTTAACATTTCCTGCTGCATTGTTGTCTGCTGGGGAACCTCTCTTCCCTTCTTGTTTTTTTATTTCAATTTCTTCCCTCCACAAGGCCATCTCTTGTTCTGCTTTCTTTTCCAAGAATCCAATAGCATCACCAGTACTTTTTCTTTTTTTCTTTCTTGAATTTACTTCATCACTTTCCTCAACTCGGTTTTTACTTTGTCCCATTGTCTCCATTGCCTTCAGCCTCATTTCCTCAGCTTTTGCTCTCTCTTGTTGAGCATTTTGCTTTTTGTCTCCAATCAAGGGCTTATTTTTTGCTTCTTCTTCTTTTTCAGACAGCTCCTCCAGCAGAGTGTCTATTTCTTGCACCTCTGGACTAATACCACTTGCTTTTTCTTCCTCCCTATTCTTGTTTTTGAATTTGGCCCAAAGAAGATTGAGCCTATCTCGCAATGACTGTTTGTTAACAATGAATTTTGGATGTGAGAGGCTGTTGAGTCTTGCAGCAATCTCATCCCACACCTTTCCTCTCTCTGGGCTACCCTTTCTTGTTTCATACAGGTCAGATGCTCTGACTTCCCTTAAAAAAATGTGTCATGCATGTTTGTCCATTCCATTGTGCTGAAAAAAAAGGAGTCGGAGTTAGAATTAATTTGGAAACAAGAATTAAAGACACTTAACATAGAGCTACATTGTGATCAGAAGATCAATGTCCTATGGCTTTAATATCGTATAACTTGAAATAGGAGAGATGTACAAACAGCAACAGCTTGTTCTAATATCAATTGGAGTCGTTAGAAGAACTCAGTTCTACCGAGTTATCACAGTTAGACACCTTCAGAGATACTCAACTTACGGGAGCTCCTACACTACCGAAGAAGCCAGCCTTTAACTACATAAGGAAAGTTGGATACGATAAGAACTTTATTTAAGTATATGACGTTTCAGTCCAAGACTACGCACTAAGCTAAGAAAATCTCCATAGATCTGAGGTGTACGTTTTCGAGGTGCATCTACGAATTGATAAAGGGAATGGCAGCAAGCAAAAATTCCCTTTTATGCTAAGAATTTAAGTACTGTACACGTACGTGTCCAAAACTTACCTCGACGATTTTGATTTAGCAGTTGCTTTGGTCATTTTAACCTAAAGAGAAAACAAAAGGTCTCTTGAGTTGGCCGAGACATCGTGTGATGATTTGTGCGAAATGTGATAATACAAATAATAGAATCATTTTAATACAGGTGACAAAATTGGCAGTATATTAACAAAAACAAACAAGATGAACTCACGTTTTCACCACAACGGCACACTTGCTGATCTCACGTCGCTGACGTGAGGGCGACGGCGGGGCCGCATGCACAGTCAATCTCGCCCCAATGTTAATCGGTCTCCATGTCGCCGTCGCCCCAAAAACATCTGTATCTTAAGCTCCCTATTATGGATAAAACACCGTTTGCAAGAAACTCTATAACAAGTTTTGGAAAGTTTTAGTCAGTGATAAATGTAATTGATAGGAGTTCATTGTCAAGGAAATGATTGAGGAAAAATATCAATTGCAGAGTAATAGGTTGATTGAATGCAGAGGGCAATGTTGTTTATGTCTTGTAATAATGTGGACATTAACCTGTGTTGGTTGCTGGTGTTGCATATCTTGGATGATGTTCTATACATACAAAATTAAAGAAGTATGTAGTCAGTAAGGGTGTAATTGATAAGTATATTTGTAGCATATTACATAGTGCATCTGATTATTACTTAAATAATTTGCAGCATATTTCGAGAATTTGTGCTTTTCTTTTGAGGAGTTGTAGTAGGGTTGAGGGGAATCTTAGAATGTTGAATTAATTTGAGCATTGTTCCTTGTGTTGTTGTTTTGAATTTGTTTGTGCATGAGGATGCACAAATCAGCATTTGCAAGAACCTCTGTAAGAAAGTATTAAAAATATTTGAGCAGTGACAATGTAATTGATATGAATTCATAGTCAAGAAGATGATTGAAGTATTGAAAGAAAAATGTCAATCACAGGGTATTTAGTTGATTAAATACAGAGTTCTCCAAATTGCCATTCAAAATCACTGGCCCTACAGTATGTTATTGGAGGTGGGTGGGTGGGAATGATTAAGTCCTTAATGATGAGTTACTCTATGTGTTGTCTGTTTCATTCAGACGTATTGGTTGATTGAATACAAAGTTCTCCAAAGTAACACCGCAAGTTACCATCCCTAGGGTGCTGGAGGGACAAGAGGGTTGGAAATGCTCAAGTCTTGAAATGATGAACACATTACCTTCTTTGTTTGCTCTTTGCTCGAAAGATGCAACATATTCTGTAAAAAATAATAGGAATATGTTGTCAATGATCTTACTATCAAACATAATTGTGGTGCATTTATTTATATAATAATTCACAACATATTTTAAGAAGTTTTGCTTTAATTCTTGTGATTTGTGCAAGGATGGAAGAGGTTTTCCAAGTGTTGAATGTTTTCACATTACCTCTTTGGTGGTCGTCAACTTGTTGAAAATTCAACAGGGTTGTTAAGTTAACGAGATATTCTGTAATAAGGTGTTAGAAGTATTAATCAATGATAATGTAATTGAAATTGATTCAATGCCAAGGAAATGATTGAAAAGATTTCGGAACAATAAGGATTATAGGTTAATTTTGTAAATTATCACCCATATCAAGAAAAGTGGCTCAAAATTGATAACAATAGGCTTTGTTAGACAGGCGAAAAATGACCCTATATGGCCATTTTTGAACAATGGCGCAACAGCTTCAGAACACACGAGGGATTTTTGGAAGCCTCCGATTAGCGTACGAGCGGGAAATTTAAACGCTCGGAAGGACTAGACTTTAGTTTAGAACTATGACGACTTTAGTTTAGAACTATGACAGTTTCTGGAGAAAGATTTATATGTGGAGAGGTGGTCTGAATGAGACACAACATATTTTGAATTCTCGATGCATGCATTGCCACATTAGCGGTCAATTTTTTCCAGGGGTAGACCATTGAGAGTTGACTCATCGAGACAAATTTGCGCTACCCACTTCCCCGAAGCAGCTAAATCAGCGTTGAATTTTCCCTTGGGGTACTGCGGTGACAATTTATCGGTCGTGTGCAAATATGCGCTACCTCCTCTTCCAAAATAGCTAAATTGTGATGGCAAAAATTTTTTGCGATTCGTCAAACTTTTTTGCGTCGCTTCCGCCTAGGTCCCTCAGCGCTACAAAGAACAAAAGGACTATTGTTTACTACTTTAATGTATGAAGTTGAGCCGGAACAGTAGACCATTTCTTGATACGCCCTAAATTGTGCAAGGAAGGGAGAGAATGTTGAGGTGTTGAATTGAGCAGCATATTACTTGTGTTATTTCTTTTGTTTGCTTCACTCTGATAAGTTATTG